CCATGGCAACACAGCCCACAACAACCTCCAACTCTTGGGCTTAAGCAATTCTCTTGCCTTAGCCTCTCAAGTTGCTGGGACTACAGGCACCTGACTATTTTCTGGTGCAGTTGTCATTCTTGTTTAGCTGGCCAGGGCTGGGTTTGAACCTGCCAGCCTCGGTGTATGTGGCAGACATTATGCTACGGGCACCGAGCCAAGTTAAAAAATAATAAGATTGTTCAACAAATGCTTTGGTTTTAGAAGTCCCAGGGAAGTATCATTTCTAGTGAAATACATTTAAAATTAAATATTGTAATGCTTAATCATCATTTGTTCGGTTACTAATAGCTACTAACTAGTACTATTATCAACATATAAATTTGGAACCATTAGTTATTTTTTTTCAGACAGTGTCTTGCTCTGTTACCCAGGCTAGAGCGCAATGTCATCATCATAGTTCATGGCAACCTCAAACTCCTGGGCTTAAGTGATCCTCCTGCCTCAGCCTTGACTGGGACTATAGGTGCATGCTACCATGCTCGGCTAATTTCTTCTATTTTAGTGGTCTTGCTCTTCTTGCTCAGGCTAGTCTTGAACTCCTGACCTCAAGCAATTTTTCTGCCGTGGTCTCCAGAGTCCTAGAATTATAGGTGTGAGCCACTGCGTCCAGCTCTGTTATATTTTTAATGTTGTTAACAAACTGGGTAAGCAAAAATAAAACAGCTCAACATTTTGAATAATATTTGCCTAGAAAGAAAAAATTGATAATTATCCATCATATGTTTAAATGTGACCAAGTCTCAAAAATTTAATTCATTTTAATTTAAATAGTTAAGGCTAAAATATGAGCTTAATGTATCTCAGTAAAATTTCAAAAATTACCTGTAATGGGAAAATCCACATAACGCCTTGTTTTTCCATCATAATATTCTGTTCCCTTAATAATTACTAAATGAGCTGGGAAGTTTACACCCCAGGCTAATGTGCTTGTAGCAATAAGGACCTAAAAAATACAAGGTTATATATACGTATAAGTAAAATGCAACTTTTAAGTTATATTGAAATATGTGTTCATGGAAGAAAAAACAGTACCTGAACTTTACAGTTCACAAATAGTTCCTCTACTGTTTTTCGGTCCCTCTCGTGTAGGCCAGCATGATGCATGCCTATTCCAAAAGCAAGAGTGAGCTTCAGATTGGAATCTCTGACCGTTGCAATGATGTTTTCCATCTGCAGGGAAATGCATGATTAGAAGATATAGGTGTATTTGCTTTAAAATTTTCATTTTAGCACTGCGTTTGATTAATTTTGTTTGCTGTTTATTATGATACTATGTAGACGTCAAATTGTAGGCCTTATCTATAGCTGTTAAAGTTAAATTAATTGAAAAAAGTATACTTGGTGAAAATATTTTCTAAATCAACTAAAGTTTAAATATTATCCATCTTATTTTTATTCATCAAGGGAAAAAAATCTATAAATGGAATATCCTCTTAATGAGTAATACTATGTAATGTTGCCTAAAACATTTCAGTTGAAAAAAATCTTTTTGGCTCAGGGTCATAAATTTGGAAAACATGGACAAAAATTTAATGAACATAAAAAAAATCAGCCATAATTGTACCCAACAGACAGGAATTGCTTCAATTTATGCTTTCTTATTGAACTTAGTGATTCGAAGCAAGTCACATAACCTCTATGAGCCTTGTTTCTTTAACTGCAAATTTTAATAATAATAGCAATCTAACATACA